CTCTCTCTCTCTCTCTCTCTCTCTCTCTCTCTCTCTCTCTCTCTGTGTCTGTCATAAAATGTAGATGATTGTTTCATGTAAATGTCAGATTTCAGCCATCAGCAGGGGAAAAGTAATCATTTCCATCTGTGAAAATACTCAAGTTAAGTACCAGCACCTCAAACTTAAGTCCAGCATTTAAGTGAATATACATTTATTTCCTTCCCACCTCCTGCTCCGGCCTTTCCTAAATCCCTTCGACTTCCTCTGAGTCTCGTCTGCATGACCGCATCACTTCCATTAAGCCCACTAATCCCGTCCACACAGCCCACTCTCTCTCTCTGTGTGTGTCCCCTATAGCTGTCCACTGTCCAGTGTCCACAGGTCCACCCACACACCTCAGCGACATACGTTATCTGCTGTCAGCATGCGTTACGCAGGAGGCAGATGAGTGCTGTTAATGCATATTAGTGGGCTTATTTAGGATTAATTGGCTCTCAGTGCATCGTGGAGCTGCAGCTCTATAATATTTTACCCTGGGCATTTCCACGACTGCACCAAGGCATATTAGCCAATTCATATATTTATTCTAGATGTGCTGGAGCCAGGTTGATGTATAGAGCAATAGTATGTCCTGATGTTGGTACATATGCAGTCAGAAATTACAGTACATACATAGTATGTTTTATAAGATGTGTTTTTATGTATCATCAACCCTTATTGTATTAAATCAAATGTTGTAAATATTTAGTTAAATTTGTGTATTATATTTTGTAATATTTCCTGTTACTCTCATCTTTGTTGGTAAAGTTATTGTTCAAATGCAAGATACTTTCCTCAGTGCTACAGCTCCATTGATACTGGATTTTTGAGGAAGATTATTAATGCTGATACGTTGACCAATGTTTGGTAAACCTGCCCTCACCAGGCTGACTGACAGCAGAAATGCTCTGAACCAAAATAGATTTCATGTCGGCTACATTGGGAAAAATCTACAATGTTTGTATGCATCAAATAGATTAACGTCATTTATATTTATTATTAAACTTGGTCAAAAAAAATCTTCAAAATTAACAGGAATTATAATTTTATTAAAATCGTTTTAATGCAGCAACAAATTGAACTGAATAGATCGGCCCCTTTGGCAAGAGTCTCCGATCCCTCTGAGTCAGTATCTGCCCGATATCGATATCCGTGCATCCCGGGAAAAAGACATTGTGGCCTAGTTGTATGCATGCAAGTTTAAAAAGGTTTACATTGTAAAAACAAACTCCGTTGCCTTCTGGTCTACAACATTTAAGCGACTGTACACATATCTTTCTCTGCTGGGTGCATATTTGAGTTATCTTTGTAAACAACGTTTGTTTTTAGAAACAAAAGATAAGAAAAAAGAACTAATTATCTTCTTGAACTATCGGATGTTTTTTACTTTCACATGTCAACATGAACCTAAAAAGATCCAGAATGTAGATCATTTGTGTGTGTGTGTGTGTGTGTGTGTGTGTGTGTGTGTGTG